AAAATAGCCGCTTCTGATTTGTGTGCAACTTTTTGTCAGCCATACCACAACCCAGACCGGGAGGTTGCGAGACTTAAATGCGGGTCCATTTGGTTAGTGAGCTAGACACGCTAACATTTGAGCAAAGAACTCACACTTGGTCAGCTGAAATAGAGTGTACTTAAAGTTAGATGGCCTATTCATGATGGAATACAGGGATCTTGAGTTGCTTCAATACTCAGATCTAGGGTTCCTAAAGATCTTTCCGACCTGAGGTCAGGATAGACCAGCTGATGACGACAACTGAGCCGGAAATAGTAGCTTCCATTTCTTTGCCCCCTAGCGGCAGTGCTTTTTCAATACGCATCGACATGTCGGTCAAAATGCACGGGTCTCTCGACTAGCTAACATCACCTGCACAGAGAATAACCAGCATGACCGCCAACACATCCAAAGCAACTTTTACTTGAGAGAACCGTAGACGAAACTCACTTGTCTAGGTGCTGTGCCATCTTCCAGCACTTGGGGTTGTGAGAGTATCCGGAGTTGACCATTAGAGAGAAACCGGGTATCGCAAAAATCGAAGACTGTCCTGAACCCTCAGGGAAGACGTAGAGACAGGGATGACTTATCCGAATGGATGATGCGCCCACAGCGTGTGGCGCCAGATCAACTGGGGCAAAGAGGGGCTGGGGAAGCTGAGTCATCAGACGTTGGCAAAAGCTCTGAGCACCTGTAGATGGAGACATAAGTGAGAGAGGAGGGAATCCAAGACAAACACAAGTAACCAAATTAACAAGTTACATTTCGCTTTTGAGTTGGACGTAAGCCTAGTTCCTCATCACCTTACAGTTGAATCGCAAAGACAAACTTAAATTCACGTTCGCCCATGAATTGTCGATATTGGTGCAATGAGATCGCAAAGTGGGTTATGGCAGTCTAACGACAGCAGATATGTACGAAATGATCACTGTAGTCCTCTTTGTTTCTATTATTTCAACTCAAATTCTAACTTGCCAGGGTCACAGACGAGAATAACCCCTTTTACTGACTTACCTGGCTACAGGATAGAATACGGTTATGCGGATTGGCTTTAAGGGATCAGGCTTAGAGCTCTCTTTAGTCAATGTGGCCAGACAACGTA